CCGGTCCCCAGAGCCAGCTCACCCTGCAGGGGCAGAGGCACTAGCGCTGGCGCTGGACGTGCTGGTGCAGCGCGCAGGCCCCCGCAAAACTGCGGGCTCCTGATCCTCCTCCTCCACTCACCTCGTTTGCCGAGGGATGTAGGAGACCACAGGTACCCGCGTGTCCCGGACGAGGCCATGCCGGGTGGCTAGGTCAGGCGGAAGCACCTGCCTCCATCAGCTGCAGTTCAAGAGCGCTTATTGTTAATATCATTACAAGCCTAAGAAGACATTTGTCTCCCAGAAAGCAATGTCGGTGTGTAAATGCCCCGCGTTCTGTAATTATGTCCCAGAAGGAAAGGGGTTCCCTGGAGAAGCCTGGGGTAGGAAGGAAATTGGAATAAACAGGGGCCTGTTTTTAAGAAACGGTGATGGCCATTGAAGGTGCTTACCAGCCTCTGACCTCCCTCCCACCTGCGGCCGCTGGGTGTTTGTAATAAGGAGGAGGCCAGTGTTCCCCAATGGGCAGAGCAGCCTCAGAAGGATTCGCTCCACACAAGAACCTGCCACAAGAACCAGGCCACCCATCTGACCACCCTGGGCAGGTTATGCTGCAGCAGTGAGCCTCCTACCCAGATGGTGGGCGAGCCTCCTACCCAGATGTTGGGCAAGCCTCCTACCCAGATGTTGGGCAAGCCTCCATGGATGAAGACCAAGGGCGACTGGTGCTATGGATTAGGGGAGAAGCCAAGCGCCTGACTTCTAGCCCAGAGCTCAGGCCTGCAGTTTTCACTTAATATTTCCAGCTCAAAAGATTTTTAATTTATTTTTACTTGGCAATAACTCATTGTGTGTAGTAGGGAAGAGTGTAGCTTTCCATTCATCATTAGAGGCCATTCTAGAAGGAGAAGATGGATTCAGGGGCGGTGGTGGGAACAGGATTCAGTCACCAGCAAGTGAAGAGGGTTTTTTGAGAGCTGAGGGAGGGAGCAGGGAATGCCTAATAGACTCTGTTATTTACTTGTTCTGGCTTAATGAGACACATTCGACTTCTCATTGCGAGACCCCTCTTACGAGCTCTCTGGGTGATATGCCGCATAATGGGCCCTGCAGAGATTCTGTGCAAACTCTTGTTGCCCACCACTGCTCAGTCATCTGTGAAACAATCAGTTGTGCGAGCTCCGAGACCCCCCAGTGGGCAGGAAATGCAAGGGCGGCAGCCCTCCACTTGTTGGGTGCCATCCACCCTCTGCAATGGGATAGCAGGGTCACTCTCCAATATGACTCACCTTAGAAGGACCCACAGGGAGATGGATGCTTGAATCTCACCAGCTCCCCTTCACTGGGGTGGGGGTAGCTTCAGATCGGAGGTATTTCATAGATAATATGGGAAAGAAGAAAAGAGGCAGAATAGAGAACTAAAGAGTGGGGAAATGAAGAGGAACTGAATTGGAAAGAAGAGAACCATTCGAAACCTGTTGGAAGTGTGCACACTCAATTCAAAATAAGGCTTTCTCCTTCCTAAGACTCATCGAGGATGTCTGATCTTTTAACAAATGCAGATTTCAACTCTCATCCATCCAAATTAATATTTTGCATTTCCAACATCGGTAGACTAGCTTGTCTCATTTAGCAAAATATATGGATCCCTGGAAAGGTGAACCTAAGTTCATTTTTTAACTTCTATTTTAGAAGTACCAGAAAGTCCTGCTTATGATTCTGTCATGAATGTTTTGGAATCTAGATGACCAAATTTTGTTCAAAGGCCCAAGTGTTGAATGTTTTTCAAATTCCCCAAGTTATATGTGGAAGAGGGTGATAAAATGCCAACATTTAAATAATGAGCCAGATTCATGATGGTATAGACACTAATCCTGAAATTCTCTGCTCTCCCTTTGATGGGCCTGTGGAGTTAGTTAGGCCCATGCAATCTTGGGGAGCACAGAGCTCGGTGCCATGTCCTGAAATGTTGTCATTACTGAGGTTGGGTCCAGGGGTTCACAGAAAGCCCAAGTAACAGTTCACTCCTGAAACTGCTGGAACTGACAAATCCAGACTGAGTAGCATGTTTTTCTGGGCATGATTTATCCTTGCTTTAACCTTGGTCCTCCTAAGGTTGTGTAGTTACACTGTTTTTAACTGGCTTGGTTTATGAATCCCACCACTGAAGACTCTACCACTGATTTAATATTTATTGAGCACCCAAAATATGTCAAACACAGTACAAGCCCCAGCCTGCAGAGCTTTACACAGCGAGTCAGCCACACGTGCGTCTTACACACACAGCAAAGACATCAATGCATGAAGGAAAATCAATCAAGGAACTGCCTTAGGGAACAAAGGTGCTCTTGGGGGATGGGCCCTGGGCCACTCCTAGATCTAGCCACACTTTCCCCTGGGTCCCCTTGATGTCAGTTCTGTGCCCTGTTTTTGCAAGACTACTGGATGTTCAGGAATGCAGGCCACAGGACAGAGGTGGTTAACTAGCCTCCCTGAGAAAACAAACGTGGAGCTTAGCACCCCCTGTCGAAGAGGCAGAGGCGGCTGAACATCCACAAGAACAAAATTCAGGAAGGTTACATCAACAGAAACACTGCTACCTACGCATCTCTCACAGTTGCGAATTCCAGGTAACTGTTGCCAACACATATTGAAACACTCCCCAGCCGATTTAGTGAGATAAATCTATTGATTGACTGCCAAAAGTGAGACCTGGTGACAATGCCTGCAAAGAGGATTACAGAACCTCCTGTCAGTCTGGGAAAGGGCTGCCGCCAAGTACCAGACTGGCTCAGTTCCCAGGTCTATGGCCTGGATGACTCCTTGCAGGAGGAGGACTGGATGCTTGCTGTTACCTAAAGTGAATTATATTAAATAAAATGTCCTACTGCAACCTTATGTGGATTTCTCTAGGATTCACTTCTGAGAGATTTTTTAAAATATATTTTTATTGATTTCAGAGAGAGATGGAAATATCAATGATGAGAGAGAATCACTAATTGGCTGGCTGCCTTCTGCATACCTCACACTGGAGATCGAACCCACAACCCTAACATGTGTGCCTGACCGAGAATGGAACCATGACCTCCTGGTTCATAGATCGACGTTCAACCACTGAGCCATGCTGGTCGGGAGTAGGAGATATTTTTTTTTCAGTTTGTTTTATAGTCAAACTAGTCCCCGATAGATTTCAATAGGGTAAGAATTAATTAGTTGCTATTCATTTGCCAATTGGCTTAATTTGTAAAAATATTTATAAACACAACACAATTCCCCAACCTCTTCAGGCTCTCCATAAAATCCGTATAAGTGTTAAAAAGTTTAAGCTGTAGGCAAGATAGAAACAGGTGGCAGCTTTTCTAGTAATTATAGGGACACTTTCTTCTCACAATTGATATAGGCTTTCTTACATCAGGCTAATCAGGGAACACTTCAGATTTTGGATTTGGAGTAATCCCTGGTGTATAACTTTATAATGCAGTTTATCTGATTGGACTCATACAGTGCCTTATGCATAGGAAATGTGTAAGGAAACTGTTGAATGAATGAATACCTATAGATCCCTGATTATATTAAAACCAACTGAAATGCTTTAAAAAAAAAAACAAAAAAACACTTATGCCCAGCCCCATCTCACATCAATGGGACTCTGTGAGCAGAGGGGGTCAGTGGTTCTCAACCTTCTGGCCCTTTAAATACAGTTCCTCATGTTGTGACCCAACCATAAAATTATTTCCGTTGCTACTTCATAACTGTGATGTCGCTACTGTTATGAATCATAGTGTAAATATCTGATATGCAGGATGGTCTTAGGCGACCCCTGTGAAAGGGTTGTTCGACCGCCAAAGGGGTCGCGACCCACAGGTTGAGAACCGCTGGTCTAGGCAGTGATATTTTCTGATAGCTCCCCCAGGTGATTCTAGGAGCAGCCAGAGCTGAGAACCAGTGAATTTAACCTTGCAACAAAGAAACCCCAATTCATCATATTTCTCCCCAACTAATCCCATCCTTCCCCCCATCGCCTCCACTCTCCACACATACTCAACCAAAGAATGCTCTAAGGCAGTGGTTCTCAACCCTCCTAATGCCGCGACCCTTTAATGCAGTTCCTCATGCTGTGGTGACCCCCAACCATAAAATTATTTTTGTTGCTACTTCATAACTGTAATTTTGCTACTGTTATGAATTGTAATGTAAATATCTGATATGCAGGATGTATTTT